GTAGTGTTCGAAACCCACAGTATTCTGAACCCGCAGTGTTCGAAACCCACAGTATTCTGAACCCGCCGTGTTCGAAACCCACAGTATTCTGAACCCGTAGTGTTCGAAACCCACAGTATTCTGAACCCGTAGTGTTCGAAACCCACAGTATTCTGAACCCGCAGTGTTCGAAACCCAAAGTGTTCGAAACCCACAGTATTCTGAACCCGCCGTGTTCGAAACCCAGTTTTCGGAACCTCGTAATAGTCCTAATATGAATAATAATTAATGAGGAGAACCCTGATGAGCTCAGAAGCTTTGTAGGTATGCGATTTAATTGAAACTCGATGGTCCTCACGGACCGCTGTGGGGCCAACCAAGCGCCCAGGGAACTGAATGACCCAGCTACACCACAGACTGCGTGGTCACTCAATAGTTCCTTCGTTATTATCGCTCGTGGATTCATTATACTACAGAAAAATCAAAGATGAAATGAAACATCGCATACCAAGTACAGTATACAATCACGAGGAGGTATCTTATAACATGTAACCCCGCCTTTGTTCCCCGCGATGTCGCATGGTACGGTAAATAAAAATAGACTTTTATATCCCGAGGATTTCGGATGCCGAGTCCGAGCAGTCGGTCCCAAGCCTTGTAGTTTGCAACGACTAAGCCAAGGTCCCAAGCAATACTCCACTGCTTGAAGCTAAGCTCAGTCGCGATTGAAGTGTGAATTTTTTCTTTGCGTTTCCAGTTTGCCGTCGTGAAGTTAGTGGCCACCGATATGCCTGCCTAGATTTGAAACTGGCCAGTACACATGAAATAATTAATGGGACAGGTTGTCTAAATAGTGACCCACTTCTACCTGTCGCCTTGGTATGCCCTTTTTCCCAGCCAAACTGGTTCTGAATGACCCACTTCTTAATATTGGTATAATTGGCAGTGAAATATGCCAAAGAAGCATTGCAATTTAGACAAAATCTCGCACATTTCTCCAAGTGCATCGCAGCTTTCCCTCAACGCTGCATTAGTTGCGATTTCACACGGCGTATTGGCGCGTATTTCAGACGGCGTATTGGCGCGTATTTCAGACGGCGTATTAGCGCGTATTTCAGACGGCGTCTTGGCGCGTATTTAAGACGGCGTATTGGCGCATATTTCAGACGGCATATTGGCGCGTATTTCAGACGGCGTATTGGCGCATATTTCAGACGGCGTATTAGCGCGTATTTCAGACTGCGTCTTAGCGCGTATTTCAGACGGCGCATTGGCGCGTATTTCAGACGGCGTATTGGCGCGTATTTCAGACGGCGTATTAGCGCGTATTTCAGACGGCGTATTGGCGCGTATGCAGATGAGCTAATCCAGCGATTGTCGTGTGTAAGCCAGCGCCTTGTAAGCTCTTGTTTAATTGGCGCCTGAGAGGAGAATTCCATTCCATTGGTGTGACCTGAGAAGGCTCCTAGTGTGAAATGAGCAATCTTGTATTAAAATTAAATCAAGCTAATAAGAAGAAAGCGTTGTGCTACAGGAAAATTAGACAATACTTGAAAAGAAGCTTTAAGTTTTTGAAGCAGGTTATGTGTTACTTGAAACGCGTAGAAGAGGCGTTATGATAGTGGGAAATAAAAAATAGGCTTTGTGTTTTTGGTTCCTAAGAAAATAACCTGGTTTACGCTAATGGTGGTTTAACGGCTGTGAAATGTGTTTTCTGGACTGATTTTTGGATAACTATGAAACCTAATTTCAGTTAATCTAGTGACAGTCTGGCCGCTTATTGTCGTTTCTCATTACGCCTTTGTCTCAACTATATCTTACATTAGGTAAACTAGAGCACTGCATCTATAGTATCCTACATCTCTTACAATGCGATGTTATAGAATGCGCTGCAGGTGATGGAGGATACTGATGGCTCTATTGTTCCTTAGTGGCATCGACGATGGATGCATATATATGTCGCTTATTGAGTTTGTCTTGTGTTAGCCTTATCTTATTTTCATCTTATATTTATGTGGATTTATTAACATGATGTTAAGGTGTATGTCTCATGTTGATGTGTATGCCTCATGTTTATGTGGACGTTTCATGTTAATGTTTGTCTCAAGTTTACATAGGCATACCATGTGTCTCAATATAGCTGCAGATGGGCATTAGGATGGCACCTTAAGAAGTTAACTGCTCAGTCCTCAAGCCTCCAAGTTCAAACTATTGTGTCTCCGCTTGACCGTAGCGCCTGAGAATGCGAGATCGTTGAGTTTCAAGTGTTACTTTACGTCACGTCGTTTAGTGAAGTTTAATGCATTGTAAACAACTAATTTCGCGAACAACTAACCTCGCGTTAAACGCTAGGCTCCTTTGTGTAGGGAGCGCCCGCGCCTATGATCCACACTTAAGTTTATTACCTACGAACCATTTGCGAGGGAAGGCCCATAACCATTCCTAAGCCCTCGAAACCCCTCTTCTAGCAGTTAATTCTAGGGTTAATATGCATAACGTAGTCAATGTGCTGATTGTAAGGTGCAGTCAGGGGGCCGATTGCAAAACGCGTTGCACACTTCGGTAAGTGAAATATTGTAGCTAAAGCCAATATTAAATCTTGAATTGCTTTAAATACTTTATTTTTTACCGTCCTTGAAATAGCTTGCGAAGACTCGAGTCTTGTCACGTAATTAATCATCGATGAAGTACTTTAGGTATAATCATATATTATGCGGGTAGTTGAAAATGGTGCTGCAGTTCATACACGTCCTCTAGATCCACCCACATTATTTCTATCACTGCTCTTATCACTAATGACGGTTGGGCTCTGGCAAAACGAACATTCGTTTCTACGTTCGGAAAACGGGCTGGAGTTCCCCATATCGCGTGTTGGATAAGTAGCAGACTATTTATTATTCCTCGCACCTACATCATACAAAAAATTTTCTGTCGATGTGAAACATGGCCGCGTTTGGCTGAACCGTTATTTACATGGAAATGAAATGGATTAATGAGCTATGTTGTCAACCTCATGAAAATGTTGATCGTTGTATTTTGAGGCCATCACTGTGAAAAATAGAATAATAAATTGATTATATTGTCCGAAAATGAGATCTACTATTTTACCCTCAGCACGATAAGCTAGAGGAATCAGCACTGATACGTACTTTTGGCGGAAAGAGCTGGTTTAGTATGACACATACAGGGGCTATAATTGCGACGTTATTCGGACAACGTTTCACTCATTTCTCTCAGTGCATGTCAATCTTCCTCTAGGATTGCGATGTTTTGGTCTAAATTTTTATCCTGCCTTAAGGAGCGATTATCTGAGATAAATAATGTACATTTTATGTAATTGTTAATTGTGAGATTTTCTTTTCTATTTATTATTTGCGCCGAGTTTATGAGTTTATTTTTAGTCTAAACGCCGCTTTGCTTACGAGGATTTCTACAATTAATTTCCATGCTCGACATTGGACATTCCACTCCTTTTCAACACTCCCCACATTTTCAACACTCCCCGCATTTTCAACACTCCCCACATTTTCAACACTCCACTCCTTTTCAACACTCCCCGCATTTTCAACACTCCCCGCATTTTCAACACTCCCCACATTTTCAACACTCCACTCCTCTTCAACACTTCCCGCATTTTCAACACTCCTCCTAATTCTTTGGTGGAGTGTTGCAACTTTTCATTGTAATGACGGTTGTAATGATGACGTCTCATCATGAAGTGAATCATGCAGCATTAACATCATCTCACCATCCCTTGATTCCTTCATCTCTTAATCCTTTCATCCCATCATCTTGTCATACTTTCATCCCATCATCTATATATTTTTAGCGTGTGTCGTCATTGTTTACAATTAATATGCTAATACTGAATAGCATGTGCCCTATAAAATTATTGTAGTTAATATAGTGAATAGTACGTGTCATTACCGATACAATCATAGTATATATTAAAGTGATTTGTACCTATCAATACTGAATACGTTAATTGTATTTATTATAGTGACTTTTGCATGTAATTACTCGATACAATTTTTTGTTTATTATACAGAAAAGCATATACCATTATCTGATACAATAATTGTATTTATTACCGTGAATAGTAGGCATCATTATCCGATAATAACATTTTATTTATTATACTGAATAGTAGGCATCATTATCCGATAAAATTAAAGTGTTTATTATACTGAATAGTAGGTATCATTATCCGATGAAATTAAAGTGTTTATTATACTGAATAGTAGGTATCGTTATCCGATGAAATTAAAGTGTTTATTATACTGAATAGTAGGTATCGTTATCCGATGAAATTAAAGTGTTTATTATGATTGTCGGACACAACAGAATTTATTCAAGTGAAGGCAGGTCTGCGTAGACGCAGTCGCCGCCCTGCGTCGTGGGCTGGAACTTGGTGATGTCGATGCCGTTGTCGGTGAACACTTGCAGAGCATCGTTCTGTTCATAAATTATTATATCATATTGTGCACGATATTTAATTTTTCGAATTATTTGAAAGATTAATAGAATCTAGTCAATATTTTCATTGGAAAAGCATATTTTTTGCAAATTTCAAATTTTCCCATGTATGATGCAGCTGCTATTGCACTGCAGGTCGTGCAGCTGTTATAACTACTATCCCAACACCCCCACCCCCTGTCTCTTATACNTTTCCTAATCATTATGCTTTCTATACAGTTTAATTATGATATTTCGTAATAGTTATGCTTTCTTTGCAGTTTGATTAATATCTTTCGCCATTATTATGCTTTTTTTGCAAATTAATTACAATTTTTCGTTATTATTATGTTTTCTTTACAAAATAACCACAATATTTTATAATTATGCGTATAAAACTGTGTAATAACAATATTTTGTAATCAATATGCTTACTCCACTATATATCTTATTGACTATCGGCAGATTTCATTAGGCGTTACTCACTTCGCTGTGTATTTTATTAAATTTTATTTTAATTAAGCACACACAACTTTGTTACCATTCAAAGATTTACCCACAGAGGTATCCGTAGTCGCCGGTGACACATTCCAGGCCGGCTGCATGTGTCGGGAAACGTCTGTTCTCGTACCACCGGCCGAGATACTGCGTGTAAACTTGGTGTTAATGGGTGTATTATTTGATGTATTGTATCGGGGTTATATCAAGTTAACTCAATTTGAATATATAGCAGAGAATAAATTTTATACTCGAATTCGTAGCTCTGGTAAACTACTGTCAACACCCAAACAAAATTTGGGTTCCACCTAGGCTTGTGCTCAGGAGTCGCTACACTCGGCACAGATATTTTCTGGTCCTGCTTGGCCATCCGATCGAATTCAGCTTCTGGTTAGACTCTTCTTTCCGACTCTATAGTGCCTTGTGGGTATATGACCCCTATAACACAATTTAGAGTCCCACAGCTTCTGGTAATCCAAATTAGAAGCTGCGGCGACTGTAAATTTTCACTGGGATGAGGGTTGACCGAAGCCTGGTCATACCGAGCATCCCTTATATGATGCACACTTATATTGCTTGCACATCACTTATATGATGGCTTTTAACTTGTACAGTGAATATTTGTAGATTATTATTAATATATTAGCATTGAAATCAGAGTAACACGCGCGACGACAGTAAAAATTTAAAGCAAGCTTTGATCTTTTACTGCTACCCATACCACGATGCCGGGACCTAGTGAGACAACTGTGATGTAGCAGAAGATAGGGAGCAGTGATGTAATAAGTCAAGAGTTTACAGTGGTGTTATAAGTAATAAAGCAACCATGATGAAATGTGTAGTGCATAATTAGTTGTGTTGTGCATTTATATTTATTTCAAATTCGTTCAATAAGATTTACATTTCGGTAAATTTTCGAATGGCGTTTAAATTGTATCCACTATATCTCCCTCTAGTATCCGATGATCATTGGACGTGTGATTACATGTTAGAATCATTCGACATTTTTAAATGCCCTTGCATAAATAATTAATGTATTAAATCAAAATCTTTCACTCACGGGCTCCACTTCGAAGGTCTGCATATTAGTGAAGTCGGGGCACAGACCGAGCTCAATGTCTGCCAAGGCTATGTTCACCAACAGCAGAAGCAGCAGCGAAAACCGACTGTATAGGGATATGTTATATGAAGAATATTGAGATATATTTCAGCCTACATTATCATTTAGCTGCAAATATTGCTCGCTCGTTCAGAAAAATAATAGTTTATATTGTCCATATTGTGATACTCTTTTTCTTGACTCACAGCCCGAGCAGAGACTGTATATTTAGCACTGATACGCTCTTTTGCCGGGCCAAACTTGGTGAGCATGGCCTGCACAAGGGCTAAAAACGTGTCGCTATTTGGATAAAGTTTTTTTTTGTGGCTGCGTTATTTTTTGGTTTTGTTGCGAAAACCAAAAAAAAAACCTTTTTCATCTTGCGACTGTACGTGCTCTTAGAATTGCACCTGGGTTATTTGAGAGACCATCTGACCTAGTCAGATCTGTGAACCTCAGCCATGATCAATTCTTCTGTCATAGCTACGAAAGGATGATTCACAAAAAGGGACTTAGGTGGGTCAAATTAATATTACGAAAATATCATAAAATACATATAATGATCGAAACCCCTAATATAAAAGAGCAATCGTACAAGATATAAAACGGCTTGATTGAACCTTGAAAATCAGAGTCGAGACGAGTTAATACTTCAAATCGACACGTAAAGTTTAAAAGAAGACGATATAAAATATGGGTGGCTGCATGTCATCGATCTCCCCTATTTTGATTCCTTAAATATCGCAATACAAAAAAATTTAAACTTTCATTCGAACTTGGGAGATTATGATATTTTATTATAAATATAATTTCATGCTCTATATATTATGTACGTGACATTATTGCTAAGGCGGGTATGACCTTACACAGTACGTATTTGCAGTCATTACTCTTACTTGCAGTCATTACTCTTACTTGCAGTCATTACTCTTACTTGCAGTCATTACTCTTACTTGCAGCCATTACTCTTACTTCATTTTGAAGAACAATGCTGTAAGCTTCCCCGTATCTGTTAGTCGTCAGGCGGCTAGCGATGCATTGGTTATCCTGCAGCTTGAAGCCTTGAACGCGTCTTCGTTAACATCTGCTGTTCTCACGCCTCACGCGGCGACAGCGTGATGTGTAAATATCAAGGGCTGCTATGTAATGCAAAATTACGTATTTTAATTGTGCAACGTTGCAAATTAACCAGCGAAATGAAAAACTTTTTGTGGAATGGTAGAAATAATTGAATCGATGGTACCTACCATGTAAATGAAATTTTCTTTTACTTATTTAGTCGTTAAAGGGAGAATAGAACGCTGTTGTCCAGGTATCATTGCAGCATATCAGAATGTTGCGTAATACCTTCTTAATCTTGCTCATATTTTACTGATAAAATTTTTATTGCATCACATTTTCTAGCTAAAAACATCACGCTAGGTATACAGAACTATGTTTTTTACTTGAATATCTGCAACACAAATCTCTTTTGCATGTGGGAAGAGTAAAGTCATATTTTAATGTTATTAATAAAAATTTCAAATAATGATGTTAATTTATTTGTGAATATTTACATTTACTAACACAAATTTTTCGTTTTAGACGTGGAGTCAGTAATGTAGACATTCTATTTATCTCAGAACTTTAATTATACAATGTTTTGTGTTTTAATGGTTGGTTGAAAAATCAATCGTTTTCCGAAAAATATCCAAGCTAATTAGTAATGTCCAGCTCGGAGTGTTGCCCATCCCAATGTTGAGTGGATTGAATAGATTGAATCGTTCTAAATTAGAGCGACTCAGGTGTGAAATAATTAATGATTAGTCTCGGAGATTGCGACGAAAATGTTATAAAATCATAAAGAATTTTTCAGAAGCGTGATGACGGTAAAGCTTACACGGGAGAACCGAGTCGTTTACACAATCAATGGCTTTTGCAAGTCAAAGGAAAATGCGACTGTGCAATTTTCTTGCAACGGGAAGCCCTCTATAGTCAAGAGTAGGGCTCATTAAATGATAACAAATTTCTCGTTTGTGGCTCTGATGTATCTTTATGTCCGCTGTAGTCAAAATGCTATCTAATTTATTTATGCTTCTAAATAAAATTAGATTATGCTCCTAATTCACTATATTAATGTTATAATTGTTTGTTATAAGTTTTTATTGATAAAAATAAATTATACCTTCAAAATAAAAATTGATACGAATATAGCTAAGAAATTCAAATTCTGTAATTTTTGGCAGTATGGCAACTTATTCTATGTAACAATTCGTTTAGTATGTACCATATATTGAATCTATACCATAATAGATCCGTGTGTTATCTGTGGATTGTTGAAATTGAATTTTAGAAAATAATTTTGTACATCGCTATAAATCTGGTTTCATTCAGCTCGTATGTATGTATAAATAAATGCATTCGATGTGGAACTTGTGTCGGCCAAACGGAGCACCATCTCGAGAAAAACATCTTATTAGGCTTACTTCAACCGTTGGTGCATTACACACAATTTTGAAATAAACCTCAGAAAAATTCAATTTCATTACATTGATCTTTATATACTATATAATTATATACTTCAACGCGATGTGCCTGATGGATTAGTATACTTAATAATTTTCATTCATTACAGGATACATAATTCGATCCTGACCTACATATACGAATAAAAAGGCATAGACTTTGATATTGAATTTTCGACTGCGCAATTAAACGAACTATACCAAATAATTTTGACCTTATAATTAAACGGACGATACAAATAATTTTCTACTGCATAATTAAACAGACTATACAAATGATTTTCTATTGTATAATTAAGCGGACCATACCAAGTAATTTTCGACTGTGTAATTAAACGAACTATTTAGATATGTCATGGTATTTTGTTTATGGAAGCTAGTTTTGTTAATTAGTTCAATTATCGCAGATTGAACATCAATATTACCAAAAATGGGAAAAATGTATGCAGAACTTTATGAGCATCATTCATGCATTATTGTCCGAAACTCATCTGATATTTTTCGATCCTACAGTACGAATGTGGATTTACAGCTGTTGATATAAATCCATTATTATAAATTTTTAAAATTAATAATGTCGAATATTTGACATGAAATTCTGTTGCGATAAAATTTATAACAAATGACTTGTTAAAATAAGTTGGAGACATTCATGTCTAAATAAAGTGCATGCCAGAAGCCTGTTGAAATGTTTTTCACGTTAGCTTTTTAATCTGTGTATAAATGCCTAATACGAAAGATTTTTATTTTTACTTGCCTTATAGCATGACTTTTAAAGTGAAATAATCGCTACTAACCTTTCTGTTCTGATAATGATCTTAATAAACTAATCATCTCCTAAATTTTTGTTGACTTGCAATATTATATGTAATTCTGTTGAAAATAATTTTATCATAGCTCGTTTTTTTGGCAATATTTGTCACAATTTTCCAACGGGAAAGACGCCAGGCGTTCGTTTTAACTGAATTGTAAGACTTTAGAGGTTCGCTTTGGGTTTGTATTATCACTGAACGTCCCAAGACCAAGTTTGTTGTATCCGACTGCGGGACTTGACTGAGTAGGTTACGTTATTATTTTGATATGATTTATTGCATTTCTTTCCTCCATCTCTCTTTTATAGAGGGCTGATGCATCATTGAGCTTTGTTAAACTTGTCAAATATTTATTGAGCTATTTTCCCATACGTGTGTGTTTCCTAAAGATTAATCGCATACCTCAATATTAATGTCGCAGTAGAGTTGCCCGGCGTGACCGGGCCGAGCTATCAAACAGTCAGGGCCGAATTTTCGGCGGTTTTGTTAGTCAGAATAAATGGTTTTATGGCGCAGGACCAAAGTATTGAAGGTTGTGGTACTGCAAGCATCGAAGTTTCTTTCATTTTCGTTCAGTAAGCTTGCTGATAAGCATACGGCAGCAATTTATTTTATAGCTTCTTGTAGAAAAAGGATTAAAGTTGATGAAGTTAATAAAAAATTATTTCATAGCATGTAGCTGCTTTTCAGGAGCTATAGTAGAACTACAATGTAATGTCATACTAGCGTATTTAGACTGGATGCTAGCGAACATTCATATTAGGTCTAACGAACTTTATCATGCAGCATCCATAATGGCACCTCCACAATATGGATATTGGACACATTCAATCGCACTGATTATTTCTTTCGTCATCCATTTATTGAATATAATGAAAGAATTTTACATGAAAAATGTTATTAATTAACTGAGTTTCATTGGGAGGATCCGAATGTGAGAGCATGGAATAAACTAAAAATGACTTTACGAAAAATGAATTATGACAATTATTATCGAAGAAATATCCATACATTTAGCTTTTTTATTTTTTTTAATCACTCCGTTGATTTTTTAAGATGGATCACGTTTGAGTTGACGTTGAACATATAAGGCAGACATTTTCACGAATTTTTTTTCTTGCTCATTTTTTGTCATTTTGCATTAAAACTGGGGTGACAGGTTACAATGATGCACGAAGAATGCAACGAACGGAGGAATATGAAGCGTTAATGGCCATTGTGGCAGGTTTTAATGAAGCTTAAACGATCATTTATTGAAGTTCGATATCGCGTCGAATGTAACATGGCCACCGAGACTGAAAGGAACCTTCGAACGACAGCCGTTCAAAATGGCTTCAATTATTCGACCTTTCCAAACTTGAAGGTTTCTATTCCGATGCGAATATTTTTTACTAGACTGACCTCGAATGAGAAAGAAAAGATTGAATGGCTTCGAACTTTTCAGGGCGATTTGAGTGGCTAGAAGTTAAATGAGATTTTACGCACCTGAGAAACGGTCATGACATAAAGGCCTTCGATAATCGAGCCATCGGCTCCAAGATTTTTCTTATATCTCATTTGATTTTGGAATGAGCTGGGGCGAATGGAAACGCGAGAAGCCTGTCGGTAAAATCGAAGCTTCACGTGAGGATTGTTCGGGTGAATCGAATGAAATTTTGGCTCGCACCCAATGAAGTTTTTATGGAAAGGTTATTAATTAATATTATATATTTATCATTTATTATATTTTGAAGGTAGGCATGGTAATATGGATTCTCTGATTGGTTTCCTGTCGTGAATATGTATTCAAATTTCGTGCTTTCGTTTGTACTAATCAGAATTATTTTTCATGTAAAATTTTTCTTGTATTTTTCATGATTGACCGTAATTTGCTATGCGTTCATCATCTTGATAAAGTTTATACATATTTTATTTTATTAATTATGAATGCTAAACCTATTTATCCTACATCACCTTTGCGTGACTATAAGGGTGAAAGGAATGGCCTAATATTTCGTAACTACAGTAGTTCTATGGGCTTTTGCTTCATGTTCGTTGTAGTCTAAACGCTATCAAATTTATTTAGGCTTCTAAATAAATTATATTATGCTTCTAATTCACTAAATAAATGACCAGAGTTGTGCAGAAGAGATCGACTGAGCGGTAAACGGAGTAGATGAATACTGAAGAGTCAAGAGCTTGTTTTGATTTATCATGGTTGAATTACCACATAAAATTAATTAAGGGACAACGAACAGAATAATTCTTGATAATTTATTATAAGATTTAAAAGTTTATTTCAAGATATAAATTAAACTCAAGATGAACGATAGCAGAATTTGGTTCGGCAGTAGAAAATTTTAAAATAATGAAGGGACCAGAGGGACCACCCTGATTTCATGCGAGGTGCCTATGATTTAAAAAATAACTATGCGTTCATCATCTTGATAAAGTTTATACATATTTTATTTTATTAATTATGAATGCTAAACCTATTTATCCTACATCACCTTTGCGTGACTAAGGGAGAAAGGAATGGCCTAATATTTCGTAACTACAGTAGTTCTATGGGCTTCAGCTTCATGTTCGCTGTAGTCTAAATGCTATCAAATTTATTTAGGCTTCTAAATAAATTATATTATGCTTCTAATTCACTAAATTAATGACCAGAGTTGTGCAGAAGAGATCGACTGAGCGGTAAACGGAGTAGATGAATACTGAATAGTCAAGAGCTTGTTTTGATTTATCATGGTTGAATTACCACATAAAATTAATTAAGGGACAACGAACAGAATAATTCTTGATAATTTATTATAAGATTTAAAAGTTTATTTCAAGATATAAATTAAACTCAAGATGAACGATAGCAGAATTTGGTTCGGCAGTAGAAAATTTTAAAATAATGAAGGGACCAGAGGGACCACCCTGATTTCATGCGAGGTGCCTATGATTTAAAAAATATTAAGTAACAAATCATGCTCCTTAACCCACAGAAATAAAAATTTCGTAAACGTTTCGGATAGTTACTTATCTCGTTTTAAGTACGACCGACTTATTTCTAACGTGAACTCCCATTTTAGGAAACTTTCCTTAATAATTGACTAAAATGTTTAAAAAAATACTCCAGAGCGAACATTTGAAAACGTTCAGCAATTCCTGCTAGTGTTTATATAGCGACAATAATAAGCTGCTTGCTGGACCAGGCGCTAGTCTCCAGTTCTCATTCGCGTCTGCTTAGCACAATGGCTTGAACAGGAGGCGTTATGCGTGGGAATGCGCGCATTATGCTTGAAGCCAGCATTTATTTTTCATTAAATTAAACTCTCTGGCGCCATTTTGCGACGACGTCCTTACTAAGCATTTAGCCCTGACACTGCCAATAATATTATTGTCGTGCTGCTTAGGCAGTGTATTGGTAGAATATTATTAAACCAATAATATTAGGTCGTGCTGCTTCTCAAGGGCTAATGTCACGGGAATTTTTCACGCAATTCACGGTCGCAATAGAACCAAGTGTTTTCTTGGGTCCCGTACTTTCATTGTCCTTGTAAAATTGTCCTTATTTTCATTGTCCCTGAATATTTGTTAGTCGATGGTGTCCGTCGGAAATTCGAATTTGGTAGTAGAAACTGATATTTTATTATTATTTGAAAACTCAGATAGCTTACATCCTGGAATGGCTAACTTATTTATTGGTTATTATTTATTTTGAAGGAAATGCGAAAGGTCCCACTTTTGTATTATATGAAGGGTAAGTTAAACCCTTAACTATTCGTAGTGCTGGTAACTTATATCTTGGAAATCGTTTTGTCACTCTCATGACTGGAAGTATTTGCTGGTAAAAATTCAAAAGACAAAATTACACGAATTATATTTGAAATTATAGGTGCATGAATTTTAAACTTTTTTATATTTCTTACAAAATAAATACTAGCGACCATATTTATGCACTGGAAAATATGTGAGAAAAACGTATTGGATTGTGAACAGCACTTAAGCTTTATAGAACTCGACCTAAAATTTAGGGCACAAGACTCAACTATTCTGTCTGAAGTTGGGTTTTTTGGTTGAACTGGAAAAGTTGTTATTTATTAAGTTGAATAAGAAAAGTTGTTATTTATTAGGTTGTAAAAGAAAAGTTTGGTTATTTATTAGGTTGAATAGGAAAAGCTGGGTTATTTATTAGGTTGAACAAGAAAAGTTGGGTTAAATATTGGGTTGAACAAGAAAAGTTGGGTTATACATCAGGATGAACAAGAAAAGTTGGGTTATATATCAGGATGAACAAGAAAAGTTGGGTTAAATATTGGGTTGAACAAGAAAAGCTGGGTTATTTATTAGGTTGAACAAGAAAAGTTGGGTTATATGTTAGGTTGAACATTAAAATTTGGGTTATTTATTAGATTAAACAAGAAAAATTGGGTTATATATCAGGATGAACAAGAAAAGTTGGGGTATTTATTAGGTTGCACAAAAAAAGTTGGGATATATGTTAGGATATACAAGAAAAGTTTGGTTATACGTTAGGTTGAACAAGAAAAGTAGGATTATTTTTTAGGTTGAACAAATAAAGTAAGCTTATATATCAGGTTGAACAAGGAAAGTTGGGGTATTTATTAGGTTGAACAAGAAAAGTCTGATTATTTTTTAGGTTAAACAAGAAAAGTAAGGTTATATATTTGGTTGAACAAGAAAAGTTGGGTTGAAGAAGTCAAGTCTCAGTTTCTTGAACCTCTACTATACGGCGTCAGAATCGGATTGATGTATACTGATATCTATTACTTATTCAAATCAGATCAGCAAGGTCAATAATTGCAAACCCTTGATGAAATGGTTATATTTTTGACAAAATTCTCCCTTGAAGTGACCTTCTGCAACTGAAAGAAATATGCATAATCGTATCAGTTATTATTAGAACAGAAAAGGCGTATTAAATACAGACAATACATCGATTTTTTTTCACTCGTTGAAAAGTCACGCATTATTAATAACGACGTATCTTTATAAGTGAGGAGGAAAATCTTACACCATAATTTTATTAGTAATATTGTCGTTGATTTAAGCAAAAGTGTGTGGCTACTCCAAGTTGAAGAATAAATCTGCAAGCTCTATATATAAGTGTGCAAGCAATGGGTGGATCTTGATAACTATGATGATTTATATTATTATTACTATTGTGGTTAAGTTCACGTAATCTTGATTTATATTTGTTTAATACTCCCGTAGAATAATGCAATTAAAGAGGAACCATAATAGTTTGATACGCATTTTCAAGCAAGTCTTTTGATTTTGAGAGTAAATAGTGTTTGAAACCAGTTCTATTAACAGAGAAATGATAATTATCAATAAAAACATAGTATGCTAATAATGAATTATCAATAAAAACATAGTATGTTACTCCACTTAATATAAACTTAAGGAACACGTCAATGTAATATTGAACTATGCAAGGACTTGGAGGAATTTCGAACTCTGCTATGTTCAGGAAGTTTGGATAGACAACAATCTGGTCTAACAGCAGAGAACCTACACGATACGACATTGGTGACATTTTGCTAAAACCACAAAAGTCGTCGCTGCATCCAAATCAGAAAAAAGAATTTTCTACAGATATAGAAAAATATACAATCATTTTAGCCGATAAACATAGACGTATTTTTCTCGAGTGCGATTGATGGTTCTGGGGCTGGGATGAATTGTTACCTGCAGCTGGAATTAAAGAATGTTTTGTTTTTGAAAATTGCGAAATATTCCGTGCTGAGAAAAAGCTTCTCATAAACCTTTTTTTATATTTAAATACGTTAATATATGGTATTAATTAAGATAAACACTCGAGTATGTGTCGACATGAGCTTAGAAGTCGAAACTGCGAAGATGTATCAACAAGATAAGACCGCGATGTTCGTTTCATTACATGTTTTTTGAATTACGAATTTTTAATTTTCTTTGTGATTCCTGCAATAATTTCGAACGCGGCAGTTTGTCTATCTGGAGAAATTTAGTATCAGTCACCCTTACAGCACCACTCACCCGTAGCACCACTCACCCGTACAGCACCACTCACCCGTAGCACCACTCACCCGTACAGCACAAGAGAAAAAATTTTGTCGCGTGGAGAAGTTGCAGCGCAATTTTTTTAGCTTATAGCCGTGGCCCCTGGTGTTGGTTCTTGTTTCAAATTCTAGTAACCCTTCAGGGACCTTGTATAGACCATGAGTATACTTGTATACTTCAATGAGCTCCCCACGCAGACGTCGATAACTGAGGCTTGGAAGCTTCATAATCTTCAATCTTTCTTCATAGGACTTGCCCTTCAAGCCTGGAATTATCCTTGTTGCACGTCTTTGAACATTCTCTATTAAATTTCTGTCCTTTTCAAATCTCGGTGACCACACAACGTTTCCAAACTCTAGACTCGAGCGTACGACGGCGATTGTATTGGTGTTAGTATTTGTTATAGCGATTGTATTGGTGGCTTACTTCTCATTAGCTCGCCGGTTATTTCCATGAAGGGGATTTGTACTATTGGCTTTTAACATATAATCCCTTAGTCTACTCTGCCCTTTAGCAGGCTTACGCACGGAAAGGAGGATGAAAGAAATGCTGGTATTGGGCAATGCTGGCCTCTGGCATGCATCCCGTGATGGGTGAACAGCCTCAGTGTCGGAGTCTCATTATACGCTCGCAATAAATATTCTAATGACCAGCCTGATATCTGAATGTTTCAGCCAATTTTTCCCAGTCCGGGTGGCGTTCTTCAATGTAAACTAAAAAATAATGATACATGAATCTTCTTCTGTAGATAATCTACACGCGGGATTTTGAATATTTGCGTATTTAAAACACTTGTTCATCCTTACATTTTTAATAGCTTCAATTAATATTTCTTTCGAAGAACGCCTGCTGGAATTTATCTCTTGCAATATCCCAAGGAATACATATATTGAGACGGGGTTTCTAACGGGAAGTAGGGATAATTTCCATATAGTGAATAGAAACTCACAGCCCAGTTATCAATATTCCGCGGGTATCAACTGCATTTTCAAATCCTATGTGATGATCAAACTTTTAGCGAACATTGTTAGTTGATCTTACACTGGCATATAGATTCACATTCCCAAATCCCGTTCAGAACTACTTCTCAAACTTTCTAAATAAACCTAACAAAATTCCAATCCATGTTACTCGATTGACGTCGATTAGAACTGGTAACCCCAGGCTAAATACAATAGTTCTATCGCGAGAACGTGAACTGATAATGTGAGATTCAGAAGCTCCATCGTTCATCCAACTACGGGTTTGCAAATGCAGAATCTTCAATCAAACCCAACTCACTCGCACGATATCCACGTCTCATTCAACAAAAACGAAGAAATTATCAAGTTCATTTGAAAACAGGTTAAGAAATGCCGGAAATATATAATGCATTATTTTATTTCAACGGACATTCCAAAAGAATATAAAATAAACTTCAAAACAATACTAAAAAATTAATACATGGGTAGCGTTCTCTTCGGTTGCACACTTCATTCATCTCAATCAACTCCTGGTTGATGTGAAAAATCCTTAGCTGCGCACGATTCTTCGATTTTCAAATAGTTATTATCTGCAGCCATCATTTTTTATGCCAATGAATAACATTTTTGCGGCAGTAGAACGAGAAAGAATCGCAAAACGTTACAATTTTCTCAAAATTAAACAGCCATTCAGAAGTCAGAAATCAATGCATGTTCTTCTAATCGATATCTATTTGCCACCTCAACACTTGCAATATCGTTTAGACGCACCTTCTTTGTGAAGAAACTTTATGTGGAACAGTGAAGGAGGGAAGAATACAAAGACAAAAACGTTACCGTTTGATACCAACAGGTGGCATACTTCAATAACGCATAAAAAATCGAATATGCGAACGAATTTACCAATTACGTAAGAGAAACAAGTACCATTTACTGAAAGCTGACACACTATGGCATAAAATCAATAGGGCGTGGAATTTTAGTTTTAAATGATAAAGTATGTTACCACCACAAGCAAATGGTAGAGAAATCTTTCAATGCCTCCAGAGCGCAATAATTCTTTCTAATGAGAACAAATAAACAGAAAAAAGTTTTTGGGAATGCAGGAAAAAAAAGAGTTCGGAGAGCAAAAGCAAGAGAAAGAGAGCTGGTCCCATTCTATCCCAACTCAACATAAAAGCAGTTCATTAACAACGATGCTAGCGTACGTAACCATATGATATATTAGGCGTCGTAAAATAGTTATGGGTGTCCAGGAATACGTGCACTCGTGGTTCAGGCGGTGGCGGTCTTCAGTGTGGCCTTCTGCACTTTGTTGATCTTGTCTCCCAGGCTGACAGCCATGCCCTGCACAGACAACGTATATAGCATCAAAATAGAGCGTCTTGCCATAGCAATATTCACCATCCAAAAGTAGTATAAATAAGCGTTCTGAAATAATAATTGAAGCGAGTTAACAATGACAGGCATTAAAGAACATCTGTGAAAAGCTCGTTAAAATCTAGCAAAGTGAACAGTTGTCCTAACGATAAGAATTCAAAATAAGCTATTGAGTAATTCCACGTGCTCGAACACAAAAAATATATACAGTACTTACTTCATAAACTGTAGCTAATTTAATTTTATGCCTATTAAAATAACAGCATATGTAATTTGCAGTTTTTCGTCTTCCGAATTTCCAAGTAAAAAATAATAATATTAATAATTGACAAGTAAGTCATGGTATTAAAACTAAAGTCAAAATGTTTCAAGCAAATTCTTGTATTATGAACGAAATCGTCAATAAACAAATTTTATTTAATAGTTTATCACATATAGTTGACATTTACACACACAACTTCATGTTCCAGCCGGCAAAGTTATTTAGCTTTATTCAATAAAAACGAGCCACTTTTAAACCGAAGCTCTTAATGTCAGAACTCAGAAATGTTACTGTCCACACTATATCTCGATGTTTGAAATTAATTTACATCGAATTTATGTTCTAGAAGCATTTCATAGTAAATGGCAAAATTAATATTAACTACGATCCCTTCAAAATTCCAACTTATTTTCATATAAAAACACGAATCTCTTCCGCCGAAGCATCACTGAAGTCATTACGGTACTAATGTCTCTCAACTTGCGTCACAAAAATAGATGAAGATCTTTTTCAACTCTTCGTATCGGAAACATGCAAAAATATCGGCTTTTAGATACGAACAGCATTGATGGCGTACAAAGTTTCCAAGGACAAAATAGCAAGACAGCATCGTTGACGCTCAAGACAGAATGAACGCTTTCAAGAACAGATTAGACGAAGCTATGCAGGAGCATATGTCCAGTCTTGAAATGCCGAGCACCGTACGAGCCTTGCAATAAGTCCAGCAGCTATCTCAATCAATTATCAGTTATGGAAAGATCGGGTTCAGACGACCGGATTCCTTGTGGAATCAAGTCACGAAAAGTACAGGAATCGGCAATAGGCCATGGGCCTATTTCTTCACTGCCGATAATTCTATTCTAAGACCCGAGCTGCGCCCCCCACCTGGCTCTTGGCCCTGATGCGGATGTGGCCCACAACAGAGTTGTCCTTGGAATTTAGCGGCGTCTCGATGCTGAGGTTGGCGAGCGCGTCCTCGCCGAAGATGGAGCGCGCGTACAAGTTAGCGGCCATATAATCACCGAAGCCTTGAAGCGCACGCGCAGGTGTCAGGCACTTCATGTTGGTGGATTTGCAGAGGTAGTCAAGGTAACCCTTCAGCTCGGTCATGTGGGTCGCTACTGTCACCTGAAATACCGAGATGCTTTATCCATAATGAAATACATGTACAAAAAAATTGCACTTGAACAGAGTGTCAAGGCTAATAAAACTAATTGTTTAATAAGGTACAGGGTACATTATATGAGTAGTAGGCTTATTACCATTTCAAAAAGTCGTGATGTGTTTCGCGCTGAAGGATTAAGTTCTTGCCAGTTGTGCGGATACGTCACACTCATGTGACCTTTCGGTCCATTCTGGTGGTGGTCACACAGTTTTTTGTTGACATTGCAAATGCTTGCTTTTCATCACTCGGTTCAGCGATTAAAACAGTTACTGCTACTGTTCGACTAAAATGAAGTTAGTATGTAGTGTCATGTTTGCATGCGTTTGGCGATGGTATCATCGGAAAATGAGTAAAAGGTTTCCCCGGAGTTAATTGAGATTGTTTCTAGAAGACGAAAAACTTGCAAGGATCTTGAAGGCAACCTCCCGATTTACCATCAGACTCATCTTATGAGCAGCAACACTAAGCAGAGTCATCTGGTTCTGAGCAGCAACACTAAGAAGACTCCCCTTGTTCTGAGCAGCAACACTAAGCAGACTTGCCTTCTTCTGAGCAGCAACACTAAGCAAACTCCCCTTGTTCTGAGCAGCAACACTAAGCAAACTCTCCTTGTTCTGAGCAGCAACACTAAGCAGACTCTCCTTGTTCTGAGCAGCAGCCCTGAGTAGACTCACCTTGTTCTGGGCAGCAACACTAAGCAGACTCCCCTTGTTCTGAGCAGCAGCCCTGAGTAGAGTCAGTAGACTCACCTTGTTCTGAGCAGCAGCCCTGAGTAGACTCACCTTGTTCTCCCACTCGAACTCCATCCACATTTGCCGGAACTCCAGATCAGTGCAGGTGGCGGGCACAATGTAGTCCATGATGTCGATGTGGATATCGTTGAGGATGACCACATTGCGGTCACTGGTCGAGCCCTTGATGTCGTACACTGCATAAAACATTCTCCTTGTGGTACACTACATAAAACATTCATGTGGTACACTACATAAAACAATCTTCATGTCGTACACTACATAAAACATTCTTCTTGTGGTACACTGCATAAAATATTTTCATGTCTATCTTACATCACATTCCAACTCAAATGGATTATTTCAAGTGAATGCACACATGGGTCCGAATAAGGAACATTATAATGGTTTTATTTTTACATAGCTTCAAGTGGAAAAATTGTGTTTGATAGTTAAAATGTGATGTTTAACATTAAAACACTGACAACAACAAACCTTACACAAAATAAATGAGCTCAAAAGTAACTCAACGAACGAACATAAATTGAAATAAACAACTAATGATACACATCAGTACACATGAGCATAGATGAACTATTACACAAGAATGTTACAACGGTGGCTCACCAATATTGCCGAAAATGAAACCATTTTCAGTCGAGGTGACCTTGACATTGGCTTTTATGTTACAGAAGTCATGGGGCGCCAGCACCAGAGGCTGAGGTTTCTCCACGAGCTTAAGGTCGCCCATGGTGGCGAGTTCGAGGGTACAGTTCTGGAGCGTATCGCTCGTCTGGTTGACCATGAGCACGTCTAGTACGATGTCGTACTGGTTGATGTTGACGTATGCCTCAGCATACACGGGGTCGCTGAACCCGGTCAGTTGATGCACCTGAAACAGCAAGGCAATAGAGATGAATGTTCGCGTAATGGGCAGCGTGAAAAATACTCAGCAATTGTTGTCTACCAAGAATATCGTTACAAACATCAGTCGTTACTTCTACATAGACGTATAAAATTTTATAAAAGGTCAAATTTATGTCAGGCATTCCTTTTACTACACTTCATTGCTTCGACTAGCCAATTGTTAAATAATTGCGAGCATGGAACATATAGCACCAAAGAATTTTCAAAAGCCCTGATTTGACCAAAATAGATGTTGGGCGTAACAACGTTAACTGTAGAGTAGATATGCTGTTCTAGCGCTTGCACGATTTCTACTTTGCTAGTAAAAACCTTGTGCTAGCGCCGAGTTGCGTTACAACAACACGTCTGTTGAGCTCAATACAACGGTTTATTGAGAACTACTTCGTGACATGAAGAAAACTAGCTTCACGACACGACAGTGGCGGAGCAATAGTAGAAATGAAAATTTTCATGCTGTGGATCTTGAAAGCCAAAAAATGATAAATTTAAATATATATTTGACCAAATAGAAAGTTTTCCAGAACATTGGTGAGCACAATAAATGTCAATAATTTATACTGCTAAAAATTATATAAAGGGTAGTTAATTTAAAATAAGGTTTTACATGTGTGCTCGTTAGAGATGGTTAGGAACGAAGGGAGTATATCAATAAAGATTCTAAAAACATGAGGGCTACAAGCAAATTAAAGCATTATGTAATGATTAAGACCAAAATTTTGGTATCTATGGTGAACCTTGTAAATGATCCGCTCTATTGCAGTTGATTGGAGCAGTTTTACAAGATCTGCCAGAGCACGGGGAGGTACGAGTTAATAACTTACCTTACTGAGTTTGCTGGTCGAAAGATCCATGACTTCTTTCTTGACGCCGGACACGGCTTTGCTCATAGCCAAGTCAAACATGTCATCAGTGGTGGAGAGTTGCGACGATTTCATCAGGTGAGAAAAGCTGATGTGATCATCCACATGTTCATTGACACCATCTCCTCCTTCCTTGGACTTCTTCTTTTTGTTAGCTTCTTCCTCTTCCTCAGTTTTAACAGTGAGCATGTGAGACAAGGCATCGCGACACTTGGCAGTGAATATCTCGGACAAGATCGACGACCGCTCGGAAACAACGTGAAGACACAACATGATGCGGTCATAGTCGTCGTCTGTCATGGGTTTCTGAGAGAGTCCTGATTTGCCAAGATGAACGATGGAAGTCATGATGAGCATAGCTTCTCCTGCGAACCTATTTTGGGCAAATGCATCAGTTTCAAGAAGAAAATATCTAAAGACCATCTTAGCAAGGGTGTTCGCGATAACAGATCCAAGGTAGAAGTTGCCCAACATCAGATAATTCCTTAGCGGAGAACGATCATCAACTGTTGGTGTTCCCTTGCTGCCGGGAGCAGAGAATGCAAATTGAGTGGCATAAGTGCCATCAGCTGTGACACGATGCTGGGTTGGCACTTGCTGCTGCATTTTTTCTTCCTCATTGGCAACTTCTTCACCAGCAGCTTTTCGCATTTCTGACTCAACAATTGGCAGCTCACCAAGGCTGCTGCGAATTGAACTAACAACTCCAGTAATTTCATCCACAGTACTCGCGTACTCTCCAAGTATCCAAAGCGTGTGACGGTGCACTGTCACAAAGCGGATCGTGGGCATGGCACTCAAGAGACGCTCGATAATCTGCATTCGCAGCTCTGGGAAGCGCTGAATGGCCTCCCTCACGAACACAAGTACGTCCGTAGCTGCTAATTCGTTGGTGTCCGAAAGGAACTCCATGAGCACAGGGATGATGGTGGCCGCCACCTCAGGGAACTTGATGCTGATGGAGTGTAGAGTGCGCACCAGTAACTGTCTGTACTTGCCCGTATCCTCGTGTTCCCCTGTGTTGTGCGTCTTCCCTACTTCTTTCTTCAGTACCTCCACCATCTCGCCTACTGTGCGCCCGGTAACAAGTTCTACTCCCAAGTTTAGGGTCTTGCGCCGTACCTGCACAGTAAAACAGAATAAACAACTTTGCTAGGATCAATTATTCCCTGTCAAAATCTACGTGGTGATCTTCCTGGTTGTGTGGTAAAGCTGCCCTGAAAGTAACATCAAAATTAACCATCGTATTTCATCAGAACAATCCAATCTACTGTAAACAGCAGCTCAAAACCAATAATCACTTTTCCATTTTAGCAATTTAATTCACGGAATTCAAGAAATAATTTATTGCATTTTTGTAATTTAGAAGCAAACAATATATAAAGATTAGCAGCCAAGATATTTCACTAAATAATTTGACGCCAGTCAGAGAAAACGTAAAAAAACTTCTAGTTTTGAAGTGGATCGAACAGATTAAGAAACACGTTCTAAGTTCGTCCAGGGGATAACGAGGCCAGTATAAATTTCGTTCTAAATGCATTCTAGACTGGCAACAAGGCTTATTGATTCAAGGATTCATAGCAAGAGTGCACAATCTTTGACAAAATATTTTGAATGACGTGCGGCTTGAAGTGGCATAAGGCCGATAGACTGCAAGCTGCGCCGCCCAGGACCTCAAGATCAGGCGTGGCCAGGATACGAAGGACGTCCATGGCGAGCTCCTGGAGGATCTTCTCCTGACTGGCGACATCCCGCAGCGCCAGCAGGCGGTCCAGTACGATAAGCTTAACGTTGTTGTCGCTCTCCTTCACAATCAGCTCGATGTAGCAGTTTGCGGCCGCCTGTAGCATGTACACACTTGTTCGATAGAAATATTGCTGTGCACACAATGAGAATGTTATCTACACTACCGCCTTGAGAGGCATGTTGCATCACATCCACGATACCTCCAAATTCAATATTTGGATATGTGCAAATTAATAATTTGAAAAATGTATAAACCATTCGGTTTCAGTGCCTTTCATGCCACACGGCAGGGTTTCAAATATTTCTCGTTGGAATTTTATGAGCACTTGGAATTCTCAGACATGAAAGGATGGCAAGACACTGAATGAGGGAATATATATACCTTAATAGCAGTAGGGGCGGAGGACAGAGTGAGCAGTGTGCCAGCAGCCTCGTATCTGACGGCAGGGCTGCTGGAGTTCAGCAAGTTGTAGATGCAGCGGATGAAGCGCGACCGCTCACCGGGGTTCGCGTGGCACACCTGAACGACATCACATCGAATAAATGTATTTGCTGCTCAGCCGCAAACGTTAACTAACGCTGTATTTGAACCCAGTTAAGGAAAACTTTAGAGCTTAGAAGTGGAGGAGGAGACAATCGAGTTTTGTCTGGATAATCAAAGAATTAAACAACGATGATCACGGAGACATAAACAATCGTCCAATCCTAGTAATTTGCCAACGATGATCAATACAATGATTTGACATGAACTAGTGTATAAAGTCCATGAAAACTTCAAATTAATGATGAAAATTGAGTTGTCATATACCCAAGTACGTCTCTCCCAAAAAGTTCAGTTTGTGTGATGCACCAGATTGTCTATGTCTCATCATCAGCAACATTTAAATTGTTAAAAAAGTGTGATTGCATAGATGCAAACGCCTTTCCGAGAATTGTTCTCATCATATATAGGTTATATTGATGGCAGTCAGCAATCTGATACAGATATAAATGTCATTGTTCTTCCGTAGGAAGTAAGTGAAGATTTAATTTCCAGAATTGATGCATCTCGCATCTTGCTTGCGGCTATTCCCTCGTGTCCCACGAATCAAAATTTACTAACAGATTACTAGATTTACATTACAAACTCAACTGTAACACGGACTCAAGGCTGCATGTCAACACCATAGCTGAGAGAGGTGAAGATCTCACCTTATAGATGAGCTCAACAATGCCGAACTGCAGGATGTCGCCGAAGCTGTTGACTTGGTCAAGGCTGCATGTCAACAACACAGTTGAGAGTGTTGAAGATCTCACCTTATAGATGAGCTCAACAATGACGAGCTGGAGGATGTCACCNGGCCCCCCGCCCACCACCAGAGCCTCCCCCTCGGCGTGCGTGACGGTCGCAATCAACAACAACGACAACCGAAGGTGTTAACTTGGTCAAGGCTGCATGTCAACAACACAGTTGAGAGAGGTGAAGATCTCACCTTATAGATGAGCTCAACAATGACGAGCTGGAGGATGTCGCCGAAGCTGTTGACTTGGTCGATGCACGTGGCGAGGTAGGACAGCGCGCGCTCCTGGTCCGCGTGTATGAGCATCATGAAGGCGTTGCGCTTGCACGACATGTCTTGCTCGCCCTCCAAGAAGTTGCTGATCAGCTCTGGGGCGTCAGGGATCAGGAACTCAAAGTTCCTGCAAGGTACAAACAAATATGACTTTTAAACTCGAGAATGTAGCTTTTACAGCACAAGAAAACACAAAATCATATTAGTTATGCATTTTTTTCTTTACTGGGAGAAAAGGATCCTAGGGTCAGCTAAGCGCAAAAACAGAAAGTTCAATGAAGAAAAACATATTTTATGTAAGACTATTCGGCGGCCTGGCATCTCCGTGAGTGAGAGAGTGAACTTCTAAATACCCTATCACTAACATCTCTTATTCGACTGAAGCAGAATTGCAACCTTGTAAATAATAAGGATCTATAAGGCCGTGATTACCTCCTAGCCGTTAGTTTTACTCTCTGTGACGATTAGGTATGCGAGGTTCTGATCGCGGATAGCAGCCTAAGCTACAACCCTCCACCGCATCCTCGTGCCGCCGTCGGTACCAGCGGGTTGAGCCAATTGGGATCTACTCGGGAATATCTTACAATGAAGCTCCTACCAGTCAATGCAGACCACAAACCATCCACGGCAAAGACAGGGGAGCACAGCAGGTGAAAAATTACTAGGACCTTACTTCACAAGAACATAAATTGAATGCTTGAAAAAGCAATCATAATAGTTGGAATTTAAAAGAAGAAATATTCTTTTTAGAATCCGAGCTTGTTACCAAAATTTGTTTTAGTTCTTCTATCAATAGAGAATGTTTTAAACTCAAACCATAAATGTAGAAGCAGACAGTTTCATAAAATAATTAAAAGTTCTTTTATTCCAGTGAGCGAAAGGTAGGTATAAACAATAAATGCTTATAAAAAATTAATTTTAGTTGACAATTTCTGAATAAACCTTTCAATAACATCTAATATATGGCTCACTTAAAATATAAACGGTTAAAATAGAATGATTTCTAGTTGGTGATTGATTAAATAGCATTCTGACTAAGTACCAGTCAAAAGCGGCGAGTTTAATCATAAAATTTGTGTTGAAATAAATTCAAGTCACATTTTGAGTCCCGCGAACCTCAATCCGTTCCACGTCCATAAATATCCTCAAAAATTAAAAGAGATCGCTTCTTAAGAACTCAAATGTGATTATAATGATTAAAATTACCACAAAGAACAACATAGACGGAAGATAGAACGTCACCAGAAGACAGATGCCGCTACACTGCCGACATGGCGCTCACTTGTAGATGGTGAAGATAGCGAGGACGGCGTTGCGCCTGACGTAAGAGTGGCGGTGCTCGAGGCACGTGCGTATAGTAGGCATGAGCGGCTCAAGCAACTCAGGCTCCTTCAGCTTACACAAGAAGCGCAGCGTCGACCCACGGATGAATTCATTTGGATGAGATAAATCCTGAAAAACAAAACCTAAATGAAATTTAAGGGCATTCAAAGTAGTCCAAAGTTAAGATAAATAATAGTTAAGGTGTAGGTTATTTAAATATTTCGAGTATATAAGAATAATCCAGCGGATGTAATGACGATTTAGCATTCCAGCCGGAATGATGGCTGGAATTCCCAAAGCTGTACCCCCAAAAACAGAACCCGCAGCATGTGACGGCTGCAATTACTGCTGTTCCCCGGCATCCACGTACACAAACGATGTGGTTGAGGATCATGTAAGACGGGGTGTAAGAACAGGAGTGAGGAGGGCGAAATGACGAGACAAAGAAGCACCCACTTTTACGGGACTTTCCAACAATTGGGAGACCAAGGAGTCAAATGGGAAAGCAAAGGAAGTAGAGATGCTCAGCGTAATGAAGAAGATCGAGCAAGTGGGCTAGATGGAGCTCTACTCTATAGTTGTAAAATACAAGAGAGCTGCTCGACTGAACCTGAGCGTTCTAGGCAAGTGAGCATGGCGTCTTCAATGGAAAACGAGGCGTCATCTCGCAGCTTCCGCGTTGCCGGTGAAATCTTTCCCAAAGTTGAGACAAGCTAAGCCTGTCAGTAGCATGAAGATGGAACTGCCGATTTCACGAGGTGCCGCAAATGAAAATAGAAGTAATTTTAAGGTTTACCTACCCTAAGAGTCAGCTATAACAAGAAAAGGAACACAGTATGAAAGGTAACTATGACAGACATATACGGACATGAAGTTTTTGTGTTGCACAATCCCAGAAAGCTCACAGACAGGGCGCGTAAACGATGCTTCTTTGGTGTCACGCATAAATTTTTGTCAAAAAATGAATATTAAAATAAAGTAAGAATATTTCTTTTGAAAAGCTACAAGTCAACTCGACACTTTTTTTACGGCAAATTATTCAGGAGCATGGGTAAACATATGACCAAACAAAGGAGGCGCGAGGGTCCTGAGCAAAAAAAATAAATACCTTTTCACTCAGGCATTGATGACATGCTAGTCTCAATATAAGAATGTCCGACTTGTCCGACTTTCTTCTTGAGGTCTCAGAAATTTGATTCGTTTGAAAGTAACCATACAGTCGCCCGTATATATAATCATTAGAGTTGGTAACCCGAGTACATAAGTTAGAAAGAACCTAAGACTGAGGAACTGGCCAGGATTATTGAACAGCGATCAGACGGTGTTGCGGTAGTCTACTCCATGCAGCGGCTGTCATGTAGGCGTTCAGTATCCAAGTTACCTCAAGCACCTCAAACAAAAAATATAACTCAGTACTACTGCAGTGAGTGACAGAGAGCGCATTTTCTCGTCGACGAAAACGTGAGGTCACGGACGGACGGACAGATAGACGGACATGGCGCGCACAATAGTGCATTTTTTCCATAAATGAGAAAATGCGGGAAAAAGGAAGGTTGCATAGCCCGTGTCCTGCTTCTAACAATATTTATATTAGAAAACTTTACGAGTTTTGATTAGATTATTCCGACTACGGGCAGAAATAAAAAGTAATTAGATGATAAACATACCTTCTCGAGCATTCATTTGCTAATGTCAGGGCATTTTGTACGCGTTGTGCTTTTCTTCACAAGGCAGATAAACATTGGAATGCTATTGAGCTATGGCCAGAAAAATTGTTAAGAATTGATAGAGCTGACAATCTTATTTATGTTTTTTTTACTATATAATGCAGAAAAATGAAGTTTGAAAACGTCTCGAAACTAAATACGCTAATTATTGAATACAAGCAAAATTACTTCCTTGGATGTAACTGTATATCTAATCTTAGGGTAAATGTACTGAGTTACAAATGTTTTCGTACAACTGTACTTTCGAACAGTACTGTGCATATACTACTAGTAGTGTGCAAGTGATTGAGCAGACCATTCAGGTATTACACAAACACATTGACATCACAATAATTTTACAAATAATTTACTTGAGAAGTATTGTGTTGTAAATATTTACAGCCCGATTCGAGATAATCCGGGGCAACACTGGGGCACTACTGCAAGAGGCCACCCAGCTGGTCACAGGGACCTACCATTAAATTCAAACAGTGCACTCAAGTAAGGCACTAATTACACAAACAACTACTAGTGGCACGCGGCGATGGACCACTGATGGACACCAACTAATTGGGCAAGTCTTGAGTTTAGTTTAGTTGCACATTTTTTAATTACCTTACTTAATGCATAATAACGAGGAGATGCAAAATCAAATGAGTAGCAAAAGCATTTGCAATTGAAGAAAAATAATAAATCTTACAATTAGTGCCTCGTTTTAATACATAGAAAAAATTCAACTAAGATAGAAAAGATTTAGGTACTTCAATGCGGAAATTCTAGAACAGAGCAAGTAATAAAACTTGAACCAATATTCGTCACGTTGAAAAGAAGTTGAATTATAGATATATATTCTACAAGAACTAGCCATAAGAACTCGGGAAAATTTTTTTGATAACTCAGTACAGAATCAGCAAACTCAACTTTAGAAAAAATACAAATCAATTCAACTTGAAGCTGCAACGAAATGGAAGCTGGACTACAACAACTACGAAACAATTCAATATTTGATACACTTACAGAATCAGGAAAGAAATGCAAGAACTTTTTAATACTTTACACATGTCCTAGAAGGAAATTAAAGAGTAGTAATTGCGGCCACTAAAAAGGAAAAAAAGTTTAAACAGATCTATACATGGCAAGCCCGTACATCTTTTCTAGAAGTGAATTGTATGTAGTAGCAAGCACGTTTCAAGGAGTAGCTCTTTAAGGACCATAACTTCAGAACAAGCAACCGAACACATTAGGCTTAGGAACGAAGAGCTGGTACAACAGAGGTCCAGGCGAGTGGGAGAGCACAAAGAAAGTAAGGAAATGTGCAAGCACTGCAGGCAAATCTGAGGCAGTTGGATGAAGTTCCTTCTTCATATTCCGATGGATGAAGTTAAGGATTGAACCATGGTGAAAAGCTGGAGGCAATAGCTCCAGGAAAAACTTAGCTGCAGGCTCTGAGGAAGGATTACAGCAAATTCTGGGCCTATGGGAAGCAAAACTACTGTACTTATAAAACCATGAGCAGCCATCCAAAAATAATCGAGGCAATATCCTTCAGACATGAAAGCATAAACGTGCGTACTAGTACGTAGGTGGTCAAGCAGACTTTCAGGTGGTAGACAAAGTTCAGAGTAACGCATCAATAGCACAATCTGAAAAAAGCAAGCAAAAGAAGGGGAAATAAACTAAAAAAAACTATAACTTCTGGGAACGCTAACCTTCCGGTAAGCATCACAGATGAGGATCATCTCCTGCAGTAGCTTGCCCTCAGGTGTTGTCTTAGGAACGATCTCCCAGAAGACCAACAATAGTTTCTTGATGGTGTGATCTTCGAGCGGCATTACAAACCTGCACACAACAAGCTATGGAAATAAAACACATACATAAAGCTTACTCTATATGTAACATTATTTTATTATAATGGGTGCATGATGTATCAAATAATATGCATACAGTAAACATTACCTTACTCAATGATCCTTCTCTGGAAAATTAACAATGACAACATGTGAATTGAAAGAATTGCAATTCAGAATGACAACATTGTATTCACATAAGCAGGCAAGTCCATCCAGAAGTGAGGTCTGAGCTCTACATAGTTGAAAGTGTTGGAACAGCTTTTCCATAGTTATATGCAATTCTTACTTTAAAAACTAATTTAGGCCGTGCCAAGACTCAATTTCAAACTTGAAAACTTAGATAAGGCTTATATCTTAAGAAATTCTTATCTTGTGGCTGTCTTAAATATTACTTAGTAAAACCTAACCATTCTGACTACAGATTCTCCATGACTTATAACATTGATATGTCTGCCAGTGTGTTGGAAAAATAATTCTGACTATTTTTGCTGTTGGACCATACATTCATACAGTACTGTACCATAAGAACCGTACAGTTTACTGACAAGTCTAATGCACATTTATGTGCAATAATGAAATGTGTTATAGCCTAAAGGAGACTTTTTTACTTAATATGTAGTATTATTCGTTAATCTTTGCAGGCAGTTTGACTTAGACAAGAAACCATGGCTATAAGAATAAATGGCCAAATAGCAACATCTATGAAGCAAGGTAATTCAGACTACCATAACTCTATATATCCTATAACTATATATAACGGAACTATATATAGGTATCCTTTAATTTGAGAAATTTACAATCCAATTCAGACTAAAAATAAAGTAACTTGAGACCTTTTAATACAAAGAGTGTAACTCTAAATTATCACTTTAAAAAGAGCAAATTACAATCAAATTTTGACTATAAATAAAGTAACTAGAGTACCTAGTAAAGTAATAAAATAAAGTGATGTGCTATTTAGAATTGAACTAGGACCTGAAACTACATTTGGCACTGTCAACAGCTTTAATTGCTTACTAAAACTTCACAACAGATTATTAAATGTCAAAGCCTGAGTAAAATTTTTCAACATTGAAATGCAGTACACTCATAATGAGGTCACCAAGCCTAAAGTTCTACTGCAACTAGACCATCTTACTAATATTAAGAAATAATTACTTCAAAGAAACATAATTACTTAGAAACTTCAAATAAAAAATATTTTTTTGTACAAGTAGGTACAGTATATACAAGTGAAATAGGCAATTTTTAAGAAGACTCGACATACCTAAATCTAAGTTCTTTTCATTAATTTCAATGAGGAAATATGCCTGCATTATGAAGGAACCGCTTCATAAAGACTCCCCTTCTGAAGAAAGTTTTTAAGGCAAAGTTCCATTATGAAAGCCTTTACAAAGTGGCAGGAAACATTATTTTGTGATATACCTACTATATAGCCATTAACAAAATAATCTTGTAATAGGTACAGTTTCTGTACTTGAAAATGTGTATTCTTGGATGATGAAGGAAAATTACATTAACAAAAACTTCCCTGCTTCAAGGTTCTCACTCTACAACATTAGAATGTTACAAAAACAAACCTTATGACAGTCATCAGAATTCCTGGAAGTTTCTCCCCTGACAGTATCAGCTGAATGGTCTTCTTAAGAGCATCAATTTTGACATTGACATCTCCATGTTCTGAAAAAGTATATAATTAGTTTAACTAATTAGGAAAATCCTTCCCTTAAATTTTACAATCAAGATCCTAATAATCAAGATATTACCACAAATATATCCTGTTATTAAAAAGTAAAACTTTTTCCCACATCAAGTTTCTCAAATGGATAAAAATGCATGAAATATTTAAAATAAATAATTCCATACCAAGGTTTTGCCGCAGCAGCATTTCTGAGGGCAGCTCTGAGTCAGAAGGACCTTGTAGTAGAGTGTAACATGGAAGCTCCATGGCTCAATTTATGACTTACTCACTATAAACTTAGACAGTATCTATTCACTGAAAATGCACTCTGCTCATCAGAAAAGCAAATTAACACAAGAAATACAAATCATACTCCATGTTTTAATCAATTTAAATCAATATTTGATGCTTCCTAGCCTATTGTTAAGACTATGCATCAAGGCACATGGCCACCATAGTTGTCAATGGATTTCTTAACTATGAACCAGTCAAATAACTCCCATCATAAATTGAAATTTGGAATGCTATCCTGGCTAATTATTTTCAATATGCAGACATTAGGACAAATTATGTTAACTTTTTATTTCAACTGTCATCAGGAAGGATAAAATACAGCACCCTGATGTTAGTAAAGCATGCAACTACCTATTTCAACCATTTTCTCAATATATGCTGGTTCAACTATTTATTATTCATTTATTGCTACCCACAAACATTTCTGAATTATTCTTCTAGCATTAAATATAAGTACCGTACTTAAAAGTTAAATGATTAAGAAGAGATAATTGTAATTATTTTTTAAAATATGAAGAGGATGAATGCATAAACAACACAATTTGGTATAAAATTTTCTATTTGTTCCCCCATGAACAATTATTTGAAGGGGAGCATGTTGGTCAAAAATCAGAAATTTTTTACTTTTCTGGTTTTTAGTCTCATTTTATAGGTCAAAGAATGGTGCATTTAAAGAGCGCCCCAAAGCCATGTTTGTTAGCGCATTTTTACCACGTTTTTCTCGACTTTGATTCGTGTGTCTGTCATCAAAAATTCAAACCTTAATTTAGAACACTTCTAAACATCCCAGTAAGTAGAAATTTGGCATGCATGCTTATGCTGCCTAACAATTCAAGATTTGATCATCAGAAATGATAATTTTGAACAAAATTTTTTTTTTTTGCAAAAAAAAATTTAAATAAAAAATACACTAAAAATTCACGATTTGGAATTTAGTTTTTCTCGAACATACACTCTTGCCAACCCTGGAAATTGATTTGAATTGCTAAAATTGCTAACTAAAAAGTATAAAATAAATAAATATAAAAAATATTTTTAAAAACCACGTTTTTCTGGTTTTTACAAAACTAAAAATAATGAAATAAAAAAAATGTTAAAAATCCACGTTTTCTTAATGGACAAAAAAGAAAAACATTTACTCTTGCTAGTCTGGAAAAGTCCTATTTTTGTCTGAAATATCGCGGCTCTAATATCATATAATTTCAGTAGGTATGAAATCTCGCGGCTCTAATATCATATAATTTCAGTAGGTATGAAATCTCGCGGCTCGAATGTCATAAATTTTTGTTTGATTAAAAAATCGCGGTTTGCACTTCGCAGTTCGCAAACATGTCATTTCATAAAATTTTCAACTTCCACTCATGGCTGGCAAATCCATAAAACCACGGCTCGAAAAATTCAGTCGCTGCTCGCCAAGTAGATATATTCCATAATCCATACTAGTACTCTTGCATAACATTACATAATATTTTACATAACTTACATGTTGAGTACAGCAAAGGCAGATTGAAAAGTTTTCAATCTGCCTTTGCTGTCCGCTCTGGAAGCTCATTACGTAATTACCCACTAATAACAGTGGGCCGTGGCCCATAGACTATACTATAGTGGTAAAGCAGAGAGTTTTTTAGACTCTTCCTCAAGTTCATTTTAGAGTCCTACCTATAAGTAGACCAGTAAAGTATCTTGGATACCAGAATTATCATATAGTATAAGAAATTGGTTAAAATTTTGAGTAAATGAGGAAATTAAAAATGAACTGATTCTAAAAAATCACTGGTTTGCCACTATGTAAGACAGTGTAAGTTTGAGCCCTAAAGACCTATATTTCAGCAGTCAGACTCAGTCATCATAGTGGCAAACCAGAGCTTTTTTGGAATCAGTTCATTATTAATTTCCCCAAAACTCAACATTTAAACCAATTTCTTAAGTATGATAATGCTGGTATCCATGATACTTTATTGGTCTACTACTTATAGGACTCAAAAATGAACTTGAAGGAGAGTCTAAAAAACTCTCTGCTTTGTCACTATGTCAGACTGAGTCAGTCTGACTTTTTGAGTGAGTCTGTGAGACTGTGAGAGGCTGAGAGCTGCAGGCACGCTACTTACAAGTGACTACTTTTCCGGCCCACGACGTCAGTTCATCAGAAAAAGGCAGGGTGAGGGCAGGGTGGCCCAGTGGTTAAAGTTCAGACTCAGAGTACCAAGATTGTCGCAGAGAGGCGCGGGTTCGATCCCAGCTCTGTGCGCCAGTTTCTGGTCAGAATCGGCAAGGAGGCCGGGCGGTTAAGCACAGCAGAATTGTAGCAGTGAGTTGCGAGTTCGAGACCGCAAAATGCTGGGAATGTTCTGTAATGTTAAGAATCGGCGACAGGCCTACGGCCTAATTAACGCTGAACCGCTATTATTATTATTATTATCAGGATCGTCGATGGTACTTTAATTTGCTTGATAAAATGGTTAGATAAAAATACTCTAGAGACAAATTTAAACAATTTAAAATAATGTTCATTCAACAGTATATTGAATTTATCGGCATTTTTAGGAAAAAATTCGGTATTATTGCAGATTAACTACATCCAAAAAAAAGGGTGTTTTTTTTTGAATTATATGTTTTTTGGGGTGTAGATTACGAATCTGAAATACATTTTTGGCGGTCGGCATCGGAAAACTGATTTTTTTCGCGACTTACTAACATGGGGGTTACGTAACTTACGTTACCCACTCACCTTTATTTACTAACATGGGGGTTACGTAACTTACGTTACCCACTCACCTTTAAAAAAATCGGTTTTCCGATGCCGACCGCCAAAAATGGATTTCAGATTCGTAATCTACACCCCAAAAAACATATAATTAAAAAAAAAACACCCTTTTTTTTGGATGAAGTTAATCTGCAATAATACCAAAAATTCTTGTCGGATCTATAATGTAAGTTATCAGATAGAATTTAATTAATTACAGCATAAAAAATAGCGTTCAAGACTGCTTCATTACACGATCGACGGCCGAGCAGATGTTGACATAACACGTCAACAGTCAGAAAATTCCCCGATTCTTTATAGACCACTCATTTTTACCCTAAAGTTGTTACTCCTTATATGTCAATACGATGAAGCGTGACGAGGAATAATAAGTAGATATTATCAATGCGCTGTGGAGGTACTTATGTCATATTTTTACATCAATTCGTTTTTATTAATACGGAAAACCTAACTTCAAATTTAACTCACCCAGCCTGAGTTAAAAAACGCTACCCGTTATTTTTTAGGAATTCATAGCTAAAAACTCCAACTCGCAGGTTAGGTTGAGACAGCATAGTTTTTTTTAAATGCTGTATAATACTGAAACTTTACCTGACTAGGACCCAACCTGTGAGATGAACGTGAAGTTAGTTTTTCCGTATTAATAAAAAGCTAATCGATGTAAAAATCTGAAATAAATACCTCCACAGCGCATTGATAATACCTACTAATTTTTCAAATTTGAATGAAATCCGTTCAGTATTGATGGATTTATGGCTGGGGGAGTTGAACATAAAGTTAGGTTTTCCGTATTAATAAAAAAATGATTGATGTAAAAATCGAAAATAAACATCTTCACAGCGCATTGATAATATCTACTTATTTTTCAAATTTGAATGAAATCCGTTCAGTATTGATGGATTTATGGCTGGAGGAGTTGAGCATAAAGTTAGGTTTTCCGTATTAATGAAAAAAATGATTGATGTAAAAATCTGAAATAAATGCCTCCACCGCGCATTGATAATATCTACTTATTTTTTTGATTTGAATGAAATCCGTTCAGTATTGATGGATTTATGGCTGGGTGAGTTGAACGTGAAGTTAGGTTTTGCATTCGAGTGCGCAGGCGGGTTCGCAGCGAGTTCGCTGAAGTGTCGATTCGGTCGAGGAATATAATCGCTACCTACCGTAATCCACTTATCAACATAAAAAATTCAGGTGACAAATAAAATAATGGATGAAAGAAAAAAATAAAATTAGCGAATTTCTATAATATATAGAAAATTTCAGCTCAGATAGAGGATATGCATCTCAAATTTTGATAACAATAAATGAGATAGCTAATGAAATGAATAGACTTATAATTATTTCGATATATGTGTACAAATATATTTAGAAAACATATCTGGGATTTTGACGAAATGTTTGATGCCGTAGAGGAAGACATGTAAATCATAATAAAATAATTCTGACAACTCCCGAGCATGTGTATTGTTAATAAATAGCTTTGTTTTATATTTGGTCAAGATTGATTTCGATTTGAAAAAATTAGGTGCGTTTAAACATACGTGCTGAAACGTGTAAAGTTTAGCGTGCTAATGAAAGAATTAAGTGGACAAAACAAATTCTGAATACAATCGTTTGAGCATAAAGTCATAAATATCTTCTTGTTGATTAGGTCATCATCAGTTCCAATGTTGAAAAATTGTTGGTGCGAAACGTGCTAAAACTCAGCGTTTAGCACGATAATTAAAATCGAAGTGACCGTTCGCTGAGTTTATCGGCATTTTAGGAAAAAATTCTCGTCGGATCCATAATGTAAAAGACCTACTAAGTTATGAAGGCGAATGACGCCACTGCGGGAACATATTGTAAATAAATAGCTTTGTCCGTAATTAAATCAAGATCGGTTTTGAATTGATATAGTTATGTGAGGAAAACGTGCTATGAAAATTCGTCAAAAATAGAACTAGAGTACGCAACTGCTATTAAATCACTGTTATCTCAATTGATGGATTTAATAGGCAGAAACATTATTTTCTCTCGTACTCATACGTGTAATTGCATTGTAGGCCTAAAATTGCGTCATAAATGCGGTTATAACGCGTAATCCCGGATGAAAAATTGACACTGCACCAGAAAATTGCTCGGAAACATTAACGCAGAAATTACTTCTTTTTATCATCGTCAGAGGACACTGCCGAGCTAACGTACTTGGCCTTTAATATGTTTGAAACTGCTTATGGACATGACAGTAATGGAATTTAGAATATAATACTGTGGCCTTGATCTCAAAACAA